CGCAGTATCACTTGATGCACTTTGTCACACACCTGAGCTGCCCAAAGTAGCTTTCACCTGGCAAGCAGCATGCTGCAGGTGGTACTGGCCAGACAGCAGCCACCCACAGGCAGCTCGCCACAGAAGGAGGTATCTTCCATCGATTCCAGCAGGGATGTGGACAGAGAAAATAATAAGGCAGTTAGAGGTGGAAACTAATGCAGAAGGATCTCAACTTTTATGTAGACATACTTCATATTTTTTAGTCTGGCTCAGAGACAGACGCCTGCTTCTATTAAAGGCAGCAATAAAATTTCCGTTTAAGCTGTGAGAAGTCTGGGGCTGCAAACATAGCTCAAGTTGTTCAGTCGTACCACTTTCTGATTGTCACAGAGTAACAGCATTTTGCCTCTTCCTGAATTTTCACTTCTCTCTTGTTTCCTGTTGCCTTACAAAGCAGAGACATACCAACCTTAAAAGCTGAAGTTCTTTACTTAGTTTTCTAACTGTTGTCTTCCTGGAGCAGAAAGTGAAAGATCATCAACTGTGAATTCTTAAAAAAACAGACATTATTGGTAATGATTGATAAGAGTACTTTAAGATACAAACTGCCCTATAATCCTCTTCCCTTTGAGCCTCACAATAAAGTGGTGATGTAGGACCATCATATACAATTTTACTGATATAGGGCAGAAACAGAGATACTGAAAGTTTAATTGACCTGGGTCTAACTCACTGACCATGGCACCTATGCCTGTTCTGCATGCATTTGCTGAATTTATTTCTAAAGCAGTACCTCCATTTCTGCGGGGGATTTTAAAGTGGGAACCCCATATCAGCTCCCCAGTGGATGCCTGAAACCAGGATAGTAGAGTCTCGATAGCAGCCGTGAGACAGGATAACCTGGTTCAGTAAGGAAAGATTCCTTTCGCCTTGAACCTCAGGAGTTTATTGAAGATCACTCAGGCACCCTCTGCAGAGAACACATATAGTGCTGTTGGGTAGAGGCCAGACCAACTACAGGCTTCCAGAACACATACAGAGTGTTTCATAGATTCTGAGTCGCCTATGCCCAAAATGCCAAAATAAGGGGAACACAGTGAAAAGAATGTGAGAGCTCTGCAGAGGAGACTTATTACAATAGTGTTTGATTACAGGAGATTGTTGTCAATCATGAGCCATTGGCTATCAGTTTGCAGGTGAATTAATCAGGCCAGGTTGCACAAAAGCCTCAATGCAGTTAACTTTGTAACTGAATGTAGCAGTTGCCTCTGGTGAGCGGACTTCCTGTCTCTTAAAGTAACAATGCTAACCAGAAGCTCTGTCTGGAATTCTGATGCTTTTGAGAAAAGGGCGTAAGTATATTGCAGCTTTCATTTTATTACACAAGGCACATATATAAGCAACGTTTTTCCACCAGGATTTACCTGAATTTCTCAACAGTAGCAAATGCTACATTTGTGGGGGTTAGGGGCACAGGACCTCCCAAAAGTGGAAAAATCATGAATATCACTTGAGTATTCATGCTCACTGAGAGAAAACATGTGAGGCAAGTTAGTATCAAAACAAAGAGCATGGTGTCCCAAACAGAGTGTGTAACTCCCTAGAGGTACTAGCAGTTTTTTGCTAGAGATATTCGCAGTTTCCACTTTTGTGGGGGTCTTGTGCCCCTAACCCCCACAAATTTGGAAGGCTAATAGCCAACCTCAGTTAAGTGAAACTGCAGTAACTGTGGCTGCAGGGTTAGATACAGGGGTCCTACAGCATTGCGAATTACACCAAAACATTAAATCTAAATAGAAGAAAAAGGGAAAATAATTATAATATGTAAAATGTAATATATAAATATCCATAGCTGCATAAAATGTATCCATTATACATAATATTCAGCAAAGCCAACCAAATACTCATATATCCATTCAAGAGTGATGTCTGTATGTCATCCGCTCAAAAGTCCATTAGGTCTTCAATCTATTGTATTATAGGAGATGAGCTTTTATCTTTCCAGTATAAATCTTTCTAGTTGTAATATCACCCTTTTAGTTGTCACAAGAGCATGGGAAAGCCATTGGTATTTACTAGGTTTCAATGTCTAAGAAATAAGTAGAAGGGTTGGGATGAACCCTTTCAAAATCTGACCCTCCGTGATCTGTGGACTTCCTCTCATGCTCAGCCCAGTCTTGCAGAGCAAACTGAGCTGAGAGGAAGTTTGTGAATGCTCATGAACCACAAGTTGTAGAACTGGCCACTTTTCCTGCTTGCCGCTGCAAGTTGTGCCATGTGGAGAAGGAGGTCAGTTGCCAGAAAAGGTGCCTGGCGCATGCACTTGTGCTGCCTCTCTTCCACACCACTGCTATAGCGGGCAGGGAAGAAGGTCACTGTGAGCATGTGTGCCAGGCATCATTTGCAGTGACTGACCTTCTCCGCCTGGCACGCCTTTGCTATTATCTGTCTAATAGCACCCACAGGGGTTCTAAACTTAGGTCAGATTTCAATGGAGAAAGCAGATGTCCCTCTCCCAGGTAGGGAAGGCCAAGAAAAACCTATTGGTCATAACTCTGGCCGTAGGGGCTGAATATAGAATTTGGCCCCATTTCAAAAATTCAACAGGAAAACGGAAATTAGTCAACGTGATAAAAATAAATTTCAAATGAATGTTGGAAAGGCTTTTTCAGCATTTCAAGAAACAATAGCAGCCTGATCTGTTCCATCAGAATTTAACATTTTTATGTCAAGAAGCTTTCTGATGTTATTGGTCCCTGGTCTATGTTGAATAAATCCCAAGTGATTTAGCTGAACCAGGGTTGGAATGACCTGTTGCAATCTATCAGCCAAAGCTGCAGTCAATATTTAGCATCAGCGAGATTGGCACAACTGGCACAAGAATTATGATCTTTAACAGGTTTGAAAATCACTGTAGTATAAGTATCATTTAATGCTGCCAAGATGGAAGCCAACTCAAGATGGATGCCAAGTCCAATTTCAAAATCAAGGAATAAAACCAAAGACATTTAACAACAAAGAAGTGTGCCACTCAATTGGAAACCTGTCTGGATCAGGTGCTTTTCCAGGATTCATATCCCAACTTCTTCAGGAACTGAAAGAACCTGCTGCTATGAAGAACTCATTCAGAGAAGGTTAAGCCGGGGAGTGGGACGGCACCCATATTCAGCGCCAATATTTTACTACACCTACTGTTTAGATACAAATAAAATTGTAAATTTCTACAGGAGAGATTCGTATTTGTTCATTCTCAACTTTCATTGCTGCGATTACATTTCAATGTTCCTGTTTAAGGTGGTATGCCAAAGTCTTAGTGGCGGTATGTGTGGAAAGAGGACTAATCAGCCTGATCAGCCATGACCACCGAGTGCTGACTCAGGCTTGGGATGGGGGGTAGGCCCTGCGGTGGTCCTAAGGCATGGCTTGGGGGCAGCAGAGATGTGGAGTGAGCTAGGCCTGGAATGTGCCAATGCCACGCCTGGAGAGTGGTTAGCAGTGCCTGGCGTAAGCTAAGCCAGTGTCCTATCAGGAACTGCCATTCTGTAGGTGGGGCTCCTGCACTGTGAAACCATGAACAGCCTTGGCCTACCCATGGCCATCATCTCCACCAAGCAACATTCTCTGGTAAAATGAGAGCCATTTCTCTCCACTCTTTCTTTTTTTAGTACCCTCAGTGTGCACAGTGATTTGCAGCAGGGTTGGCAGACGCTAGATCACCAGCTGGTTTCGACTTCAGCTCCCAGAACCAGTCCCTTGCCAGCATGGACAATGGTCAGGGAAACTGGGAATCTGAAACCCCTGGAGAGCTATTTTCTGCGTACCCTTGCTTTACAAAGTACAAGAGGATGGTCCCTGCCCCAGGGAGTATGCAATCTACAAGTCTGCACAAGGCAAAGAACAGAGGAAGATGAAGGAAGTGGAGGTGCGGGTGACCAGAGAAGCAATGGTGTGGCTGCTTCAAGGGCAGGGCTGCAGCTTGGTTTCAGGCTAAAGGAAACAAGGGTTGTGCCAAAGGCTTCATAGGAAAGGCTGAGGAAAGAAGGTAAAGGTTGCAAGCCTAATCAAGATTATATGAATTTCTGGAGGGGATATGGGTATAACTGAAGTATATTATATATTAATTGTCATAATATATGAAATGAAAGGTAATAATTGGTCTTCTGGGGAGTAGGTGCACTGTGTTATATTGTTTTTTTAGTTATTAGATGGGCTTTAGGTGTTAATATATTCTGAATGATATGTATCTGTATTGTATTTGTTTTTTTTTTTCCTGGAAAAAAATTAAAAATGGGGGGAGAGAAAAGGCTGAGGTTGAAATGAAGTAGAACGGGTGATGGATGTTTTCAATATTTTCTCCTGCCTGCATCACCACTATTAATATTTAAGCAAGCACGTTGTCCCAGCCAAGGATGGAAGCTGACCGGATTTCTCTTCAGAATGCAATCCCTGTTTGTGCAACGGGGACTACCTGACTGCTGTGGCAATCTCAAATCAACTCATGATTGTGGCTGATAGAGAAAGGAGACTCATTTCTCTCTGCATGCATCTTCTGGAATACCACCTGGGATATTTTCTGTCAGGCTCACCATGGATGCTTTGCAAAACAACCAACTCACAGAGGGTGGGTTATTGTCTGTGAACTCAGCCTGGGCTGAGATTAGTCTCTAGGCTGCCACCAGACTTTCCCAGACGCAGAGTGAGGGGGCTACTTGGTCACAACACCCTCACTGGATAACCATGTCTCATTCAAATTCTGGAGGCCTGGGCAGATTGTTCCTGAGATCAAAACACATAATGCACAAATGTCAAAGCAAGCATGTGTATGCTAAAAAATGTAAATAAAACCTTTCTTAAATGCCAAGTTCAAATCCACTAGTTTTGGCTCCTTTTTCTTCAGGGCAAAGCAAAGTGGCAAAACAAATCATACTTCTTCTGTTGTTGCTGATCTGTTTGCAACTCTTGTCACATTGCAGAACTAGCCCTTTAATGTTCCTCATTTGGAACATTTCCTATCATTGTGCAAGCAGTTCAATTTCACACACAAATTTCACAGTAGCGGTTAACCCATTTTTGGTTTTCAAACTCTCACAGGACAAGAGGATGTTTCTGCAGTTTGTAACAGTATTGCTTTTTTTGTTCAACCAAGACCAAAAGGCATCTTCTTATTCACTAAAGAACTGTGAGGTCCATGGATTATTAACAAACAGAACAAAAGTTCTGTGCTATGATCGGCAATTGACTCATGTCCCAGCTTATCTGCCAAGTAAACTTTTTTTCTTAGATGTGTCTCAGAATAATATCACAAGTCTGAGGAAAAGTGACTTCACGGAGATGAGTAACTTGCACATTCTGAATGTTTCACAGAACAAAATAGGTCACATTGAAGAAGGGGCTTTTGTGCACACAAGTCGGATGGAGATCTTGAACCTCACTACAAACCAGCTGCATCATCTTACCAGCTTTATGTTTGATGGACTGTTCAACCTCACCGTCTTGCTGCTTGGCAACAATCAGATATCCAGGATTGAGCCATCCGCTTTTGCCCACTTGGAGAAATTAAAGGTAATTGACTTGTCTTCAAACCAATTATATACCATGAATGCTGTGCATGCTGTGTTTGAAGTGGAATCTTTGGAGGAGCTGCACATCAAAGACAATGGCTTGCAGAACCTCTCAACTACAGAGATCATTAGTGTACTTGTGCGGCTTCGTGAACTGGATGCATCCCATAATCCGATTTCTCTCATTGACATTGCCACCCCAGCTTTGCAAAGTCTTCTTTCACTTGATGTATCCTACTCTACTCCCAGAGGCTCCACTGTATGGCTAAAGCAAGATCCGTGCTTCTTGAAAGGGTTAAAGATAATATATTTAGGAGGAATGGCTATGATACCATCAAACATATCAGCCTTGCTCCAAATGCTGAATTGTTCTGTTTTAGAGATTATCCACCTAAACCACTTGAATTTGACTGAGTCAGATGGCCTTATAGAGAAGGTGTGTCTATCACATCCTAATGTCAAAACCCTTAACCTACAAGGCAATAGGTTCACAAGTATTGAAGCAGAAACCTTTGAAAACTGCACACAGTTGAGATCCCTGAATATGTCATCTAACAGGCTGAATATGCTGCCACCAACATTGTTTCAATCACTGCATTTTTTGCAAGTTCTTTCTTTGGTGGACAATAAATTCACTAGTGTACCAAATGCAACTTCTAATATCACATCATTAGAAAGCCTAGATCTTGGTTTTAACAAGTTCCACATCATTTCACCAGCTGACTTTATTAATCTACCTAGTATTAAAAGTCTCTGCATCATTGGAAATCATATTTCTCATGTCCATTCAGATCTTTTTGGTAGCCTGTACAGTTTGCAAGAACTGAATCTAGGGGAAAATCATTTAAGAAAACTCAAAGAACCTTTCTCAGCAGGCTTAGCAATGCTGAAAACTCTGCTACTAAACCACAATAATCTGGCATCCATAAAGAAAGGCATTTTCAAGAATCTCACTTCTCTGCGGGTTCTTAATCTGGTGGACAACCAGATTGTCACAATAGAACCAGGAGCCTGGGAAGGTTTGAATAATCTGCGCAGTCTTGTTCTTGGAAGCAACAGGATCACTAGAGACACTTTGCAGGATGGGACTTTTCAAGGGGTAAGTTCTTTAGAAGAACTTCAACTTTTTAGCAATTACATCAGTTATGAGTCCACAAAGAGTCTTGCCAATCCACCCTTTCAGCATCTGCACTCTTTAAAGAAACTGGCAATAAACAGCCAACGTCATAATGGATTTCAGAATTTTCCAGTTAACTTCTTGGAAGGATTGCACTCCATTGTGCAGATTCATGCAGGCAATTTAGCAATCTCTTCCTTAGAACCTGAAACTTTTAAACACACCCCTACTCTCCAAGAGCTTGATTTAAGTGAAAATAACCTGATCTCAATTAGCAACACAGTTTTCTCATATGTGCCAAACCTGAAAGAACTCCACCTCAATAAAAATAGACTAAATTCTCTCAGCTTTGTTTCCCATGTCAATCTTTCCAAGCTGACTGTCATCAGAGTAACTAGAAACCTAATAGATATAATCACAAAAGAGCAAATAAGAGCTTTGCCAAACCTCCTTTTACTTGATGCACAACAAAACACCTTCACCTGTTCCTGTGATAACCAAATGTTCCTCAACTGGTCACTACAGAATCCTAAAACTCAGGTGCTCCATTTCTATCAGTACACCTGTGCTTCACCACCAGCATTTAAAGGGAAGAAATTGTTGGTCTTTAAGAAAATCTCTTGCATATCTGACTGTATGTTTATCCTTTATGTTGCAAACATGACAGCAGTCCTGTTATTGATGCTTGTCTGCTTCTTTTATCAATGGAGAATGCACATGATCTATAGTTACTACCTATTACTTGCATACTTTATTGACAAGAGACAAAAAAGGAAGGGTCAATGCATGGAATATGACTATGATGCTTTCCTTTCCTACAACAAACATGATGAACAGTGGGTGATAAATGACCTCCTACCAGTGCTGGAAAACCAGTATTGTTGGAAACTTTGTCTGCATCACCGAGACTTTCAGCCAGGACGGCCCATCCTGGAAAACATTGTAGACAACATATATGCCAGCAGAAAGACCATTTGTATAATAAGTCACCATTACCTGAACAGTGAGTGGTGCTCCAAGGAAATCCAAGTGGCAAGTTTCCGCATCTTTGATGACTGCAAGGATGTCCTGGTGCTCATTTTCTTGGAAGACATTCCTAGTGAGTACCTGTCACCCTACCACAGAATGAGAGAACTGGTGAAGAAGAAAACATACCTCAAATGGCCCAAGGATGAGCAAGAGATTCCATTGTTTTGGCTTAAACTCAACATGGCTATGAAGACTGGTGAAAGAAAAGAGGATGAAAATCCTATTTTGGCTTGATTTGTTTCAACAATGTTCCATAAAAAGAGTACCAGTACCCTGTAGTGAGTTTATGCATACCATGTTTAATCATCAGAACATTATATAACTAGGATTATAATAATAGTAGTAGTAGTAGTTGTTGTTGTTGTTGTCGTCACTCTGGTAATAGTAGACATTGGTTAGGTTCAAACATCACAAGAAGCCACGGTGAGTTCTTACTCTGGCTGGTTCACCATGTTGTCCAGACCCAGTTGTTGTATTTCTGCATGGTACTTTTAGTTTCCTGAGACCACAAAGAGAATTAATAGCCTGTTCTAAATTTTCCATGGCTCCTCTGGTCATCAAGGCCCAGGTTCTTCTTTTTAGGATAGATGGCATGGAAACACCATAAAGTCCTGAAGAAAGAGAGGCTGCAGAAGTGGCCACTTAGCCATCTGTTCTCTATTATCCTTGGCTCCCTAACAACACATTTGTCATCACCCACTTTATTCCTATTGGTCAAGTGATGTGCCTATCTCCTTGTTCACTTTTGGAGGCTGGAAAAAGTGTGTGAATGCACATAATCAGAAGGGAAAAATCATGGCATAAATGTTTTATACTTTAAAGAAAAATCTCCTGGGGGCTGAAGTGGTTAGGAGGTATTACAAGGACGCAGGAATACTTGGGAGAGGGGAAAGAGAAAACCCACCTCAAGACCTCAGCATATTACTCTGGATGAACTGTTGAGGTCATAGAGATACTGAAAGGAAGATTTTACTCAAGAGGCTGCAAGGATGTATGGCAAGAACAATCAGGTGGAACAGAGAACATGGAAGCTGCAATGCCCAGGGAAGCATATGATCATGTGACTGGTGTTTTCGGGGGGGAAATTGCACTCTGTGGAAGCAGTGCAAGGTTCTGTGCCATGAGATGTGAACCCAGCCATTGCCTGTTCCCGTCAGATACTTTGTAGGATCAGTTCCAATGTAATATTTATTTATTTTTAATGGAAAAATACACTTGGACAATTTTAAGACAAGGGCAAACACACATTGATTTTTTAAAAGGTTATGTTTGTCCAGAATATTCATACAAATCTTATGTGGGATTTGCATTTTGACATTTTGCTTTACCAAGTGTGTCTATGAAAGGAAACATGTAACATCAGAAAGCGACTCTAAAAGCAAAACTTGTGATCTGTTCCTATTCATGATGAGTGAGAAAGCAGTTACTTCAGCTGAGCAGAGGGGGAATAAAACAGGAATAGCTGGCTAGAACATGCCCTGAGGAGTGTGTGGGCCAATAAGAGAGAGGCAGACAGTGCAGGCAGGAGCAGTGCACCCTGGGAATGATTTTCAGTCATGGGGGCTGATGGGATACGTATTGCCATTATGAGGAACTATGGAGGAGGTTGAAAACCACGCAAGCACAGAAACCATGCAATTGTCTGAACACAGCAACCAGGTAGGAGACCATGCTGTGTGGTAACTACATGGTAACCATGCAGCATGGTTTAGTGTTGTGTGAATGCAGCCACAAAATAGTGAGCAGCAGCAACAATGGGAAGTCTGAGTTATAAAATAAATGGCCAATCAGTTTGGTGAAACCAGAATAAAGAAAACACAACTCTTCCTTCATGTAGTATTGTTGGGTATAATGGGTATACAGGAGTAAGCTTTTACAAGTCATTATAGTTTCTAAAAATGATTAGGTGTATACATTTGTTTAGTGATCTTTGCTGCCTAAATTGTTTTATAGTTTATTTTTGCAAATCAGTGAACAGGAAAAAAGGGTATTTTTGACTTGGAGAAAAATTGCTTCAGCTTTTTGAAGTTACTGTTATTGTTTGGACCTACCTATTTCTAACCCCATTCACCAAATGAATAGTTTGATATATAATCTTTTGATTTGCAAGATAATGGATTACCATGCCAGGACATAACACCTCGCTTTGGAGGACAAGGTTGTCTGGTACAGTAATAATTAAACTGCTGAATTCTGGTAAAGTAACTTAAAAGCTACACATTTAGAGCTAAGAATAACATCTAACCAGCAGGGAATAGAGAGTGTTTTCTGAGTAAATATTTCATACCATTTCCTGTTTATTTTATGTAGAAATTCTGTACTCTTCTAAACCTTGTATATGTTATTTGTTGGCCCAATTGAACATACACAGCATAACACACTTATTCTAGTGTGGTTGTAAACTGATTAATTGTATGATGGTATGGTTCTGTTATTTTAATTTTTTACCAGTTTTATTGCCAGAAAGCTTTGTGTTTTCATTGCACTAAATTTTAAATCATCTTTGAGTTTTGGCTGTTGGGCTGTGTACAAATAAATAAATAAATAAATAAATAAATATTTGTTATTTTTGTCTCCCAGCTGAAGTGCATGGCAACTCTTAAGCCACTGGGTGGGTTCACACAACACATGAAGCCATGATGAAATCTTACAATTGTGGATCAGTTCCAGAGTACCTGAATGTTAGGATTAGTTTTTTGAAACCACAGAGAATCAACAGGCTGTTCTAAGGTTTCCAGGCTTTACCAAAGCTTCTCCAGTTGTCCAGACCTGGGATTGCCATGGAAACACCACAGAGAACCAAGGCAAGAGTGGCCACAGAAGTAGCCACATCCAGCCTTCAATCTCTACTGCCCTCAGCCTCATAGCAACACATGTGTAATTGCTCACTGTATTCCCATTGGCTCAGCAATTTGTCCATCACTGTTAACTTTTGGAAACAGTAGAGTAGTGGCAAATTTAGAAGTGCGAGCGGGGGGCGGGGTCCCCTTCATGATAGTCAGAGTCACACCTCAAGGCCACGCCCCCATTAAAGCCACCCCCAAGCCACACCTATTTCCAAGATTATGCAACCTATGATTATACAATAAAAATGAGCTTTGTCACTTTGTTGGAATTTCTGTTGAGTAATGAATGCTGAGCGCCAAAGGATTGAGGCCTTTGAATTGTGGTGCTGGAGGAGACTCCTGCGAGTCCCTTGGACCGCAAGGCGATCAAACCGGTCAGTCCTAGAGGAGATTAACCCTGACTGCCCTTTAGAAGGCCAGATACTGAAAATGAAACTCAAATACTTTGGCCACCTAATGAGAAGGAAGGACTCCCTGGAGAAAAGCCTAATGCTGGGAACAATAGATGGCAA